GATTTGAAAGACTTATGGAGTCTCTTGAATAAATTCTTAAAGAAGATATATGAATATGAATGTGTGGGTTTTTCTCAGCATTGACGGTACATTGACAAAAATAGATGACATGTTAAGACACCAATTAAGTATACCTAAAAGTAAGAAAGGTAGAAATACCCAACACATCCTTTAAAGACTATATTGAATAAAAATTCAATTAATACAGGAAACACAAGAAAAACATGAGAAATTAAATGGAGGCTAAGCAACAAGATCCTGACTAAGTGAACCTAAGAAAGAAACCCTAGATAGAATTTACAACAGAAGCAGTAAGAGCAGTGGATGGAACCCTAGATTTGGATACAGGAAAATACGGATTTGAACCCTGCCACAGACAGTTATTAGCAACGTAATCCTAGACAAGTCATTTAAACTCTCAGCCTCAGTTTCCTCCTCTGTAACATGGGAATAAGGATATCCCCTACCTCACATGGTTGCAGTGATGATCCAATGAGATAATATATGTAAAATGTTTTGTAATCCTTAAAGCACTCTGTGAATATTTGATATTATTATTGTCACCAACAATAATAACCGTAAAAGAGAATGATAACAAAGAAACAACGTACTACATTTTGGGGCACAGAGAGTCTTCAGAGGGCAAATTACATGTCTGAAAATGACAATCAACAAAATAGGAAAAGAGAATATTCAAGAAATAAGCATCAATTTTAAGAAGTTGAAAATTGAAAATTAATAAAATTAAAAGAAGCATGAAAGAGGAAAACTTGAAAATTAAATAAATTGATAAAATGAAAAATAAAGTCTATAGAAATGACAAACAAAACTAAGAGCTGTTTTGAAAGACTAACAAAAAATTGATAAACCTTTAAATAACCTGGAGAGAGACAAAGAGAGTCAGAGGGATAAAGAGACAGAGAGACAGAGACAGAGACAGAGACAGAGAGACAGAAAGAGAGGAAAACAAAATTATCAAAATAAAGAAATTAACAAAGTAAATTTATAGTGAAGAGGTGAAATAAAAAGAATAAGGAAATCTCTCTCTGTATACCAACAAAACAGATTTTTAGATTTTTTTATATTTTCCATAACTTCTAATTTATGCTTTTATTTTAATTGTATTTATTTATTTGCTTTTAGTTTTCAATATTCACTTCTATAAGATTTTGAGTTCTAAATTTTCTTCCCTTCCCTCTGCTTCCCTCTCCCCAAGATGGCATGTAATCTAACATTGTCTATACATGTGCAATCATATTAAACGTATTTCCACATTAGTCACGCTGTAAAGAAGAATAAAAACCACAAGAATGAAGAAACGGGGGGGGGGGGGGGAGTGGGGAAGAGAGAAAGAATCGGCATTCAATCTGCATTCAGACTCCATTGTTCTTTCTCTAGATGTGGATAGCATTTTCCATCTTGAGTCTTTTGGAGTAGTCTTAGATCCTTGTATTATTGAGAAGGGCTAAGCGTCATCTCCGATTCCTCACTTTTCTTCACCCATTTCCAGGTATTTAATCTTGCCATTTCTACCTGTACCACATCTCTCTCATCTCTTCCTTTCTTTACCCTCATATGGCTACCACCCTGACCACTCCTCTCTTTTTATTCCTCTTTTTACTATTAGTAGATATCTCGTTTTTCAGAGCTAAGACCCAGCAAGCAAGCTGTGCCTTGAGCTTGGCATGACAACAATTCTTTGGGCTCACCCTCTGGATGATCTCAGCCGTGGCAAAATCCCAGAATTGTTTGATACCAGCACCAGGTGTCCTCTGAGCTCAGACAAGCACCTGCAGTACCCATGCCCTGGTCATGAAGTCCTGTTATGAATCAAACTTATCTCATTACTGCTGTTACCCCTCGTTGTCAGGGCTACACCTCACTGTGTAGCCATTGGTATAAGTATTGAGATTCGTACACACTAAAGAGGGTCTCCTACTGGAGGGGGCCCCAGCATGTGTGCTCCCTCCTCTAACAGAATAAAGAAAGCCTTTTGCTTATTACCACTGTTAGCTCTTTGGTTTTATTTTGTTTTATTTTACTTTTAGAATTAACTGGTTTTGATAACCTGTGTGAGTTCTCTGTTTGTTTGTTTTTTGACTTAACAGTTGTTGCAGGGCTGCTATGACTCTTTGGTCATTTGGTCAGGGATGACAGCCCTCATCACTTTTCACCCAGATCATTGTCAATAGCCTCTCAACTGGTCTCCCTGCCTCTTGTTTCTCTCTTCTCCTCCCCACTTCCACTCAACTGCCAAAGTCCTTTTCCTGAACCGTGGGTCTGACCATGTCACTCTCCTGCTCCAGAAATGCCAGCAGCTCTCTATTTTTCAAAATCTTTATGTCCTCTTTTTGTAATTTCTGTGTAAGTTTTATAAGGTAAAAATTATTAGTATAATTATATATTTACATAATTTATAAATAAGTAAATATATCCCTATTGGGAGCATGTGCTCCACTGTTTAAGTGTTCAATTTTTTACAAAAATGTCTGGATATGACTTTTTCAGATGAAATGATGAGAGATGACGGGGGTCAAAAAAATTGGGTTTGCTCCTTTAGCAGGTGCCCTGATGTGTCCCCGAGTTCTCTGCCTTGTGTAAATGCAAGTGCCCTGCCTTTTAAGAAGTTCCCACTTACTTCAAATGAGAAAATGCTTTAATAATTAAGCAACTTTTCAAGATTATGGAGTTCACTTCGCTAGTGACACTTAGTTCTTCATTCCCAACCCAGCCCCTCCTGGGTATCTGGGAATGAATGAAGAAATGAATGAAAGAAAAGCATTTATCAAGAGCTTGCTCTATCATAAGCACTGGAAATACAGACGAAAAAGGGAAACCGTCCCTGACCTCAAGGAGCTTACCTTCTAATTGGGGAGATTGTTACTGTTCATCCTTCATTCTCAAAGAGGACCAGTGATGTCACAAAGGCGGTGTCTTGACTTGGGGTAAATTGGATTTAAGTGAGGCAGAGATGTGCAAAGTCACTAGCCTCACTCATACAGAAGAGAGGAAGCCAAGAAAAGGTCTGCTAGTCTGGGAAGTCACAAAATATGGAGAGTGGAACAGGTGGGGGAGGGATGGGGAGGAGAGGAGGTGTTTGCTGGGCAGTCAGGAGAGAAGGAGCCAGGTGAAGAGGCTTCAGGGCCCTAAAACGCTCCATCCAGTGGCTGAGCTCCTTAACCTCTACATACATCACAACTGAAGACTATAGTCTTCTACCAATCTACGGGAACAATCCCCTGAAGTATTCAGCCAATCCTGCCTAACAAGGATTTATTAAGTACTTACTCTATGCAAAGCAAGGCATTTGGGTTGCTCAGTGGTTAGAGTGCTGTCTTCCAGCTGTACCAGACTACTTGCTGTTCCCCAAACCCACATTCAAACTCTGGCCACTCTGCCTTTTCTTTGCCACTGGCCATCCCCTGAATCTGGAATGCTATCATTCCTCACCTCAAACTTTTACAATTACAGCTCAGTTTATGGACTACTTCCTATGGGAAGTCTTTCCTTGTCCCCTCTAATTAGAGTTTTTTTTTTCCCTTCTCATCAAAATATCTTATTTGTGGTGTCCCCAAAGTATAATCAGGATCAGAACCCCATGAGGACAGTGCCTCTTTAAAGGCTGATGTTTTTTAAAATTAAATTTTATTTTTTCAATCAATGAAAATCTGCCTTCTCTTCCTACCACCTCTTCCCTTCCTAGAGTCAAACAAAATAAATTTCTGCTTTGATCATATTTTTAAAAGTCTCAATTTGGGCCCCTCTTAGTCCATCAGTTCTCTGTCAGTTGGTAGGGGGCAGGTTTCATCATGAGTCCTCTAGAATTCAGTCGGTTGACAAATATTTATTAAGCACCTACTATATGCCAGTCACTGTGCTAAGCACTGGTAATACAAAAAGAATTTCTTTGCCCTCAAGAAAATCAAGATCTAATTGGGGGGAGGGGGAAACAAGCAAACAAATATGTACAAACAAGCTAGTACAGGATAAATAGGAAATATTTAAGAGAAGGAAGCCGCTAGAGTTAAAAACTTCTTGTAAACCGTGATTTTAGTTGGGACTTACAAAAAGCTGGGAAGGTCAGTGATGAGGAAGAAGACTAGTCCAGGAATGGAGCACAGCCAGAGAAAATGTCTGGAGCCAAGAGATGGAGCAGCTTGTTTGGAGAACCGCCAGGAGGCCAGTATCACTGAATGGAAGATCACTTGTTGGGGAATAATATGTAAGACTGGAAAGGCAGAAGGAGGCTAGGGTATGAAAGATTTTGAATGCCAAACAGGGGATTTTGTATTTGACCCTGGAGGTAATAGGGAGTCACTGGGGTTATTAAGTAGGGAGTGTCACCGTCAGACCAGTATTCCCCTGATCTACTCCCAAATAGCCAACAGCTACTACTCACACTCTATTTCTCTTAACTGAAAATGGTAACTTCCTTCCTCTTTAGCCTCTATTTGGAAGTCTAGTAGTGTATAAAGTCTCCACGTAGAGTAACCTTTGAGGATGCTCACCTTAACATTGTATCAGTTACGTCTTTCCTGGCTCCCTGGAACCTCAAAAGCACCTTCTTTAAAAATGCAGTGGTAGAGATCAGAAATAGCTTTTGTTTACTTCCTCCCCCTTCTCCCAGACAGTCTGGTGCAAGAAAGATTACGGATCTGCCCTATTAGCATCCCAATAATTTCAGCAATATGTGGATCATATTTCAGCTATTGCAAACCTACTTCAAGGCTATCTGCTTCTAGTTATTTGATACTGGGGACCATTAGATGAGAAGAAACCATGAGTAAGAGTCAGGATTGGTTGAGGGAGATGACAGGAAAATCTCATTTTACCTGATGAATCTGATATACTTTGGTGAGGACTTTGATGCTTAAACCCTTTGAAAATGCACCCATCATCACATCTGACTGTGATTAGAATAAAACTGTAATTAACTGGAACCTAGCTAGCCACAACCATCCATTAGGAAGAGAGCTTTTATTCTTTCTTGGGCCCCGTGTTTTTTAGGACAGAGACACACCAAACACAAAGGAAGCTCAGATCAGAAACTTCAGACTCGGCCTTTTTCAAGGCAAGGTTCTGGTGTCAGCTGTACAAATCCAGCTCAGTTACTTGTATCTTCTACATCTCCAGGGCTACACGGGCTCAGAATGGTAACCCTGAGGACCTGCAAAATGTTCAAACACAGAGCATCAGAGAAAATGTCAATTAGAGTCACATGACTGGATTCAGACATTTTTGTTTTTACTCTTAGAGAGGAGTGGGCATCTGATTTCCTTGGATCAGGGAACTGCCAGGTGAGAAAAGTCCCTCTATTAATGTGGACCTCCCTCTTCTCTGTAACCTCTAGAGTTACAGGAGGAAACTAGGTGGCATGGTGGATAGAGCACTAAGCCTAGAGTCAGGAAGACCTGAGTTCAGATCCAGCCTCAGATCCTTACTAGCTGTATAACCTGTGACAAGTCATTTAACCTCTATCTGCTGAAGTTTCCACATCTGTAAAATGGGGATTGTAATAACACATAATAATAGTTATGAGATTAAAATGAAATAATATCTGTAAAGCAGTTAGCACAGTCTCTAATACATACTAGACATTTAATAACTGCCTGTTCCTTTCCCCTCCCTACCTAGAACATTGAAACAGGAAATGACTAGCACATCCAGTATATGTCAGAGTCAAGACTTGACCCCATCTCTACTTGACTTTGAGGTCCATTCTCTATCTACTACATACTTTATTATACTACATCTCTCTTACCTTTATTGTTGGAAATCTTCAAAGAAGCTCTGGCTTTGGGTTAACCTCCAAATCTACTCATTCAAGTAGCTTAGACAGACATTTATTAGGCACCTATGCAGAGGTTCACAAAGTGGGTGATACCACCCCCTGGGTGGTACTGGAATGATCCAAGGGGTGGCAATAACCTCCGGTGCAATTGGAGGCATTGAATAAAAATAAGGAGATGGTGGAAGGAAAGAAGAAAAGATAAGAAAATTTTGAAAAACCATTTGTACCTGTTTCATCTGTTGTATAACAGTTAAAGTCATAGTTATTACATTATGTTCCAAATAAACACATTAAATGCAAGTAATAACCCACCAGTGGTCAAGTCCACTGACAGGTCTTAACTTAATAAGCAAGTGTTGGCAGATGAGCCTCTAACAGGCATTGGCAGGAATATGTGCATGCAATGACTTGTTTACAATATGATACTGTATGGTTACATGATGCAATATTGCATAATCAAAATTTCAATGCAGGAAAAAACCCACAAATTTACAATAAATTGTTAAATCTAAGATGCATCATTTACAAATTATATTTTTTGAAATGACACAAATTTCAAAAAAAAATGTTAAAGGGTTAAAGAAAGTAGCTTTCCAAGGGGGGTGCTGAGTAATTTTTTTTTAAGATGGTGGTAGGTAAAATAAGTTTGAGAATCTCTGACCTAGATAGCATTCAGAGGCACCCCACAAGGCAATGGCGTTGCAAAAATCAAAATCATATAATCTCTGCCCTCAAGAAACTTATAATCACTGCAGTGTGTCCATCGTATTTGCATTTGGAGTTGGAAGGTCTAGGTTTGAATCATGTCTCTTCTTCTTATCAAAGGAGCAAGTATTTATTAAGGGCCTACAGTATGACAGACACTAAGCTAGACGCTAGGGATACAAAGATAACAATGAAAGAATTCCTGCCCTCAAAGAACTTCCAATCTAATGGAGAAACATCTAGGTACAGGATTGCACATGCAGAGCAAACCCAAAGAGAGGGAGGCACTGGCCACTAGGAGACCTCATGAAGAAAGAAGATGGTGGTTGAGCTGAACCGTGAAGGAAGAGAAATATTCTCCCAGGTGGAGATGAAGAGAAAGTGCACCCCAGACTCAAATGGCAGCTTGCACAGATGCATACCAGGCACTCTACTAAACATTTGACAATTATTATCTCATTGATTCTCTCAATAATCCTGGGAGGTAGATGCTATTTTTATTCCCATTTTGTAGATGAGGAAACTGAGGCAAACAGAGGTGAAGTTACTCGCCCAAAGTCACACAGCTAATATGTGTCTGAGGCTGGATTTGACCTCAGGACTTCCTGATTTCAGGACCAGTATTCCATCCACCATTCTGCCTAGCTGCCCCAATAGATTTGGGGGAATAGTAGTCTGACTGGAACGTAGAGTGTATGAAAAGGAGTAATATGAAACCAGTCTGGAAAAATCAAATCAATCAAAGATGTTCCCACCATTTTCCTTCCCCATCCCAAGCTACATTGATGTTAGAGAATGGGAATTCAAATCCTGACTCTGTTATTGAGCAATGTAAGCTCTTTGAGGAAAGGGCTGATTACAGTCTTCTCTTTATGTCTCTGACATAGTTCTTGTCAGAGAGGGGACACTTAATGAATGGTTGTTGAACAGAACTGAGTTGGGTTGGATTGAATTGCTGTATAGGCAGTGATCTGCAGAACCAGGATTTGAACCCAGGTCTTCTGCCTTCTAAATCCAGTTCCATTTCCATTGCCCCATAAGGTAGGACTCACTGGAGATTCCCAAACAGAGGCTGGATGACCATAATCAACTGGGGATGTTGTAGAGGGAATTCCCATTCTTGCTGGGAATCTCCGATTTTAGCTGCTCTCTGAAGTTCCTTCCCCATCCAAGGTTCTGTGTTTCTGTGATTTTTGCCCCTCCACAGGCTCTCCTCCTTGAAATTTCCCCCTGGTCTTTTGGGGCCTCTCCCATTTTACTCATTTCCTCTGGCTTTGCTATGTGGGCCCCTCTGAGAGGTGCTATACAATGCTATCTCCATTTCTGGCTGTCTCTCTGAGACCCTCTTTTTAATGTGAAATAATGCTTTCCTGTTAAAGGAAGCTTTCAGGGACCAAGATTTTTCATCAATCAAAGGTGTTGGATAAGAAGGAAAACCTTGAAAATCAAATGCTTTGTCATGATTAAGAAAAGCTTTCCTTTACTAAATTAGAAACCCCAGTTTGGGAGACCTTTTTCTTCCTGTAGATCATGGGGACAAATAACTCCCTGGCATTACCTAGGTGCCTCCCTCCCAGGACACCCGACTGAGCTAGAGGATGGTGTCATACATTCAAATGATTAAACTCTAATGACTAAATTGCTTTGTTTACAAAAGTAAGGAAATGTTAGTTCCCTTCCTTCCTAGAAACAAGCTTCAAGGAAATTAGCTATCTAGCATGACATCCTCCTTCCGTTTCTTCAGGCCCTTTTCATTTAAGGAGCGGCCAAGGTTCCTTCTCTGAGCACCAGCTTAGAGAGCATGCTGGTACCAGAGCTCTCCCTACCATTTAATCTTCTTCAAAATAAATCAGAGGCAATGTGGTTAGCTAGCTGGACAGGCTGGCAAAAGATGCATTCAACGCCAAGGTCTGGAAAATTGGAGGTCTCTGCCAGCTTGCAAGACCGTGGACAAGCTTCTTTTGAATTCAATTTCATCCAACAGATGTGGATTAGGTCATAATTCTATTCCAGGCATAGTACTAGACACTGAGGACATGACGATCAATGTTAGACAATCCCTGCTCAAAAGGAGATTTTATTGAGGGAAATAGCCCATGCTCAGAGAAGTAAATACAGAATATATCTGAAGGGGGCACCAGGTACAGCAGAAAAAGAACTGGATTGTGAGTGTAAGGACATGGGCTTGAATCCCAGTTCTTCTGTTTCCTACCTATGTGACCTTACGCAAGTCATTTTACTTCTTTGATCCCTTTGTTTTAGTCTATAAAAGGGGTGAGTTAGACTAGATGACCTCTGAGATCTGTTTTGGCTCTGAGTCTGTAATCTTGTGAATACAAAGTAGTTTCAGGAGGGAGTGAACACTAAGCAAAAAAAGGTCAGAGAATGGCAGCTCAACTGGGCTTTGAAGGAAGTTAAAGATTCTATCAGGTGAAAAGAATATACAGCCTAGGTAGGGGGGACCATTTTGTGCAAAGGATCAGCCACTGGAATAGTTTAACTAAAACTGAGAGTATTAGAAGGGGTGCAATATAATATAAGACTGGGAAAAGTAGATGGAAATCAGATTACAAAAGGCTTTAAATATTAAACTGGAGATTTTACATTGATCCTAATAAAAATAGAAAGACATCATTGAACCCATGAAAGCTCATGAGATCACAAAGGGAGAAGGTATGGAGAGAAGGGAAGAGGGCTCAGGACAGAGTCTTGGGGGCTGCCCATGCATAGTAGGTAGGGAAAGTATGAGGATACCACAGAAGAGACTAAGAAGGAGCAGTCAACCAAGTAGAAAGGGGAACAAGAGGGAACAATGTTCTAGAAGGCAAGGAAAGAGTGAGTACTGTCCTAAAGGGAGCTGGGGGTTGACAGTGTCAACAATGCAGAGACATCATGTTAAATGAAGAAGAAGTCAACACCATTGGATTTAGCAGTTAAAAAAAAAAGTCTTTGGTAACCTTGGGGAGAGCAATTCCAATCAAGTTGCAGAGCTGGGAGCCATATTGCAAAGGAATGAGAAATGATGGGAAATGAGAAAATAAAAGCAATAGGTGCAGAGCAGTGGTGTCATACTTAAGTAGAAATAAATTCCCTGTGGGCCACATATTGACTTAGAAAATCAGAAGTTAACAGTACCAGTGTTTTATTGTATTTTAAATTATTGTGTTAAACATTTCCCAAATACATTTTAATCCTGTTCATTTGGCTCTTGGGAGTTGCTTGGGCAGTGCTGGCTACAAGTTTGACACTTCTGGTATAGAGGACCCTTTTAATAGCAATGGATGCTTTTCGTAAGGAGGTATATTTTCTTGAATGAATCAATCAACAAAAATGTATTTATGAAGTGTTTACTATGTGCTAAGACTTGGGCTAAGTGCTTAGGATACAGCCAGAAAATCAAGGCTGTCCATGCTTTCAAGGAACTCATGTTCTAATGGAGAGAGACAAAATATTTAGAAAGGTTCAGGGCAAATGGACTGGCCCAATGGTCCTTAGGGGAAAGAGTTAAAGTGGGAAAGTCATAAATCTATTCTTTCAACGATGCTTTTTGGGATGTTTTTGTTTTAATGGTCTCAGAGTTGGTTGGACCCCAGAGGTCATCTATCCCAATCTGGATCCAACCAATATCTCCTTCAACAATGTCCCCCAACAAGTGTTTGTCCAAACACAATTAAAGAAGGAACTATATAATAGTAAGGAGGGATTCACTACCTCCCAATATAGCCCATTCCATTTGTAGACAATTCAACTAGTTGGAAAGTTTTCTTTTCTTTTGTCTTTCCTTTTCTCCATTCCCTCCTCCCTTCCTTCCTCTTTTCCTTCCCTTCCTTTCATTCTTTCTTTTTCCTGATCTCCCATCTCACCTAGACTGGAAGGACAGCAACTTCTCACAAGACCAATCCCACTACTTAGCGCCATATTGGTGTCAGACTTAATGTGGACACTTGATTAGCATCTCAGAACTCTTGACCTCAAACAATCCACTAACCTCAGCCTCCCTAGTAGCAGGTATTATGAGTACACACTACAACATCTGGCTTAACATTTCCTTTATCAGAAATCTGCCTCTTGGTAATGTCCACCCATTGCTTCTAGTTCTCTCCTTTGGACACAAGCTTGTCTAATTACTCTACCACAAAGAAGACCTTCCAACCCTTGAAAACCACCAGTATGTCCTACCTAATTCTCTTTTCCAGGCTATGCACCCCTGGTTCCTTAAATCAGTGTCTCAAGGTTCTTCACCATTAACACTGATTAACAAACAATTTCTCATTAAAACTCAATGTCAGGGGCAGCTAGATGGCACAGTGGATAGAGCACCAGCCCTGGAGTGAGGAGGACCTGAGTTCAAATCTGGCCTCAGACCAGATACTTGACACTTAACTAGCTGTGTGACCCTGGGCAAGTCACTTAACCCCAATTGCCAAAAAAGAAAACAAAATAAAACTCAATATCATGGCAAAACAGCATAACTACCAATTTCTTGGAATAATAATAACAGTAAAAACTTAGATTTATATAGGACTTACTATGTGTCAAGCACTCTACTAAATTCTTGCTTTACAGTTATCTTATCATTTGATCCCACAACAGCCCTAGGAGGTAAATGTTGTTATTATCTCCATTTTATAGATGAAGGAAACTGGCTCAGGGATTAATCAATTTCAGGTGAATCCAGCATGCCCCACCTCCTTTCTCAAAGACCAGGCTTGTATTTCAACATTTCAGAGGATCTCTGCTCTCATCAGTGTGGGATATAGATTGAATAGATCGAAGACTCTCCATGTCGTCTCACCCTGTGCAATTGTCGTTGGTGCTTTTTCATAAATCATCCATGAAGTTAGAGATCTCACTTAGGAAAAACAAGGTCCCTGAAGAATCTTTCCAGGCCAGTGAATGCAGTCCTGTCTTTTCTCCTTGGATCTTGCCAAGAGTCTGGCATTACCATCCCGGGGAAGAAAGAGGGAAAAAGTGAGGAGCTCTTTCAATTACAGGTTTACATTGGGTGGACCATTAACCAGACCATTTCTGCCCCTTGTTGGCATAGGATTATGTCTCTATTCCACCCCACCCCCAAATCCAACAATCTCAGCATCTTCCTTGGTCACAGGGGAACAATGACGAGAATATTCTGTGATTACTTTCTCTCTCTCTCTCTCTCTGGTCATCTTCCAGTGAGGATTTTGGATGCCCTACAGCTAGCTTAAGATTCGAATTCAAATTCACCATGTATTATGGGGTGGTCTGGAGGGACTTGGCCCGTCTCCTGCTGTTGTCCATCTGGAATTCTGTCCTGTCCCCTTTACCCTATGACCCACATAACTAAATGAAGACTGGGTGGTCTTAGTCACCACAAATAAAGATGTGCAAACAGCCTCAAATTAGAACTCTTTTTGGCTAAATACAGGCTTCTTCCAGAATGTTGTTTTCACTTTTAGCAAACTTAACAAAAAAAAAAAAGAAGAAAGAAAGAAGCAAATCGGCAGACGGGAGAAAATAGAAAGGGAACCACTAGGAGCCATCTACAAGGTTTGGAGAGGTTATCTATGTGGTTTGGAGAGGTTATCTCCCCTTAGGTAGCTGAATCTGGTGAGAGCTCAGGGACTTTGTGTCTGCTGTCGGGGTCCCATGGGACCTCGGAGGCTGCAGCCCTCTTCACAAGCTCCTCACCCCTCCTTCCTCCAAGCCAGAGTTTTCCAAGGGAAAAAAAAATAGTCACCACACCATGTTCATCCTTTTGACTAGAGTTAATGGCTTAGCTGGCAAAAGAAGTATCCACCCATTTCCTCTTTTGTTAATTTGCTAAATTCAAATTTAGCCAAAAGAATATTTAGAAAACATTAGAAATGACCATTTCCTTCCCGAGTAGCTGCTCCTTCTTGTGGAAAATAACCGCTATCTTTTTTTATCCCTCTGTCTGGTGCTGTGTTTTCATCCACAGTGGGAACTCCAGGCATGGAAAAGCCCTCTACCAATACCTGTCCATTAGTAGTAGTCTTAGAGCATTGCTTGGGGCACTGAGATGTTAAGTAATTCACCTATAATCCCACAGCCAGCAAGTGTCCAAGGCAGGACTGGAGGCCAGATCTTTGCTAACCAAAACAATCTCTCTCCACTATGTATACCGTTTCTCATCCCGTACTTAAAGCTCATATGTAAGGGGGAAAAAACTGTTATATAATGTCCCCAGCATCAGTTAAAGGAGATTTTCTGCTTTAGGGATTTTTCCAGATGACTGAAATACTTATTGTTCAAGTCAAATTTAAGTGTTTATTAAATGCCTGCTAAGTACAAGCCACTGAGCTACAAAGAAAGTCAAAAAATAATCCCTACCCTCAAGAAGTTTGTAATTTAATGTGCTCACAGGGTGAAAACAAGTATAAACATGCAAGATACATACAGGATAAATTGGAGACAATTTCAGGGGGACAGCACAAGCATTAAGAGGGATCAGGAAAGGCTTCTTGCCAAAGGTAGGATTTTAGTTGAGACTTGAAGAAAACAGGGAAACTTGAAAGTGGAGATGAGGAGAGATAGAATTCCAGGCATGTGGGTCAACCAGTGAAAATGTATGGAGTTGGGAAATGGAGTGTCCTGTGTGAGAAATAGCTAAGAGGTCAACGTCACCTGGTCTCACTCTATATGGAGGTGGGTAAGGCCTTACAAAACTGAATAGGCAGCCAGGGAGCAGCACTCTGAATGACTTTGAATACCCGAAACAGGATATTATATTATAATAACAGTATACTGGAGTTTATTGAATAGGGGAGCGATGCAGTCAGATCAGAGCTTTAGAAAGATCAACCTGATGACAGAAAGAAGGATAGACTGGAGTGGGGAGAAATTTGAAGCAGGGAGGTCAACCAGAAGGCTGTTGTAATAGTTCAGGCATGAGGTGATGAGGGCCTGTACCATGCAGCATGTTGTTAAGTGATGAGACTTAAAAAATAAAACCATTTTGGATTTGGGGTAAGGTACTGAGGATTTGAAGATGAAAGTGAAGGCTAGTTCCCCTCCTCAGGGGAGAAAGGAAAGGGAATAAGCATTTATGTGGCGCCTATTATATGCAAAGTACCATACTCACTAATTTTATAAATATTATCTCATTTTACTAAATAATAACCATGGGAGGTAGGTGCTGTTACTATTCTCCCCCCCTTTACAGTTGGGGAAACCAAGGTAGACAGAGTTTAAATGACTTGCCCAGGGTCACACAACTAGTATGTGAGGACAGATCTGAATTTAGGTCTTCCTCACTCAAGACCCAGCACCCTATCCACTGCACTATCTAGCTACCTCTAAGAAGCTTCCTCAAACTTTAATTCTATTGGCGGGATATAACATTAAGTCATTTTGTTGCCATTCAGTCATTTTCAATCATGTCCAATCCTTTGTGACCTCATTTGAGTTTTGTTTTGATTTTTTTTGGTTTTGGTTTTTTTGTTTTTGCAAAGATTTTTTTTTTTTGGTTTTTAGCAAAGATACTGGAGTGGTTTGTCATTTCCTTCATTAGCTCATTTTATAGATAAGAAACTGAGGCAAAAAGAGTTAAGTGACTTGCCTAAGGTCACACAGCTAGTAAGTGTCTGAGACTGGATTTGAACTCAGGAAGAGGAGTCTTCCTAACTTCAGTCCACATGCTGTATGCATTATGGCACCACCTACCTGCCCCAAGCAATTAGGGAAATAAAAGATAATCTTGGGGAGAGGGAGCGCCAATACCTCTGGGTATCAGGAAAGGTTTCCTGTAGGAAGTGGCCTTTGTTGTTGTTGTTTGTCCTTCATTTTTGAAGAGGACCATGACATCAGAGAGATGAAGGAAGCTAAAGGTTCTAAGAGGCAGAGCCGTGGAAAGAAGGTTCTAGGCTTGGGGAAAGACCCAGAGCCTGGAGTTCTGAGAACAGCAAACAAGACAGTTTGACTGGAACACAGAACTAAGGAAAGGACTTAATGTGGTAAAGGGAGGTAAACCAGGAAAAACCGTCTAGGGACAGATTGTGAAGGACCTTAGAGGCCATGCGGAGAAGTTTGTATTTTATAATAGGGAGCCACTGAAAATTCTTGAGCTGGCAGTGTAATGCATACAAACCTAAACTTTAGGCAGACAACATTGGCAGCTATGGAGAATGGATTGGAAAGGGGAGATTTTAGAAGCAGCAAACCAATAAAGAGGCTATTACCAAAGTCCAAGTGGAAAGTGACATGGTCTGAGTCAATATGGTGGCCGTATTAGTGGAGAGAGCTTCCGTATCTGCAAAACAGAAATGAACATGATTCACTTTTTAGGGCTGTTGAGAAGATGTCACTTTGTAAACCCCAAAGTGCTATAGAACTATGAGCTGTTTTTAGGAGATAATATCATCATCATCTATGCTACATTAAAGGGAATATGTATGGCACACGATGGAATGTTCTCCTTTACCATCCTCTCAGACACTCAGGTTCACAACCTCAGTCATTTTGGACTTTTCCCTCTTCCTTTATCTACCACATTCAGTCCATTGCCAAGTCTTGTCAATCTTACATCAACAATATCCTATACGTTCATCCCTTCTCCACCCCATTATTATGCAATGTCTTTCACTTGCCCCAGAAATGTTAGCTGACTGACTTGAAATTTTGAGAGAAATTAGACATGCTTCAATGCCAACATGTTTTCACCTCAAACTAGTATGTCTTTTATTAAATGTTGATTGTTGAAGAAAAAAGTATACATCAATAAAGCTTTTTAAAAAATAAAAAGAAAAGACTGCTCACCACTGTTCTAGGCTTTGATTCAATTAACTGCCACTGCCATTGGTCATAATAATAGCGTACTAGGTGGCACAGTAGATAGAGCACTGGACCTGGAGTCAGGAAGTCATCTCCCTAAGTTCAAATCTGGACTGAGATTTCCTATCTGTGTGACCCTGGGCAAGTCACTTAACGCTGTTTGCCACAGTTGTCTCATCTATAAAATGAGCTGGAGAAGGAAATGGCAAACTATTCTAATATCCCTGCCAAGAAAACCCCAAACAGGGTTACAAAGATCAGACACAACTGAAACAACTCAACCACAACAGATACTTCTGTAATGATTGTGACTTTTCAAAACACTTTCATGCCTCTTACTTCAATATTCCCAAAGATCCCTAATTTCATTAGTGCAGATTCACCAACACAGATTGAAACTCATAACTCAGGCCCTGTCTTTGGGGAGCTTATAGTCTGGGGGAAGATAGAAATTATCACAGAATAAATCTGGAGCATAGAAGTGAGCTCCCCATCAATGGAGGTGCTCAGGCTCAATGTTGGGGATTGTAGAATAACCAGTAGGGAACTCCCAGAACAAATCACACTGAAGTAAAAAAAAAAAAAAAGTCACCATCTGTTGGCCAACCTTTTGACTATTAGCCTCTTGGAACTTGGCTTGGTTGGCATTTGGACAGCTGACCTACAAGCTTTTGGAAGGCCTTTGCGTGAAGCCTTCCCAGCTTGGTAGGACCTAATGGAGCGCATGATTCCTCCGCAGGACTTGTGAGAACCCACAGTCAGCTCCATGTCATGAGAGAGCATCAGAATAGGACTTCAGTGGAATTCCCCATCCATTATCCCATCTTATTTTCCCAATACCCTGTCATTGGAATACTCCTGTGATCCTGGGAGTGTTGGAATAGGAATCAGAAGACCAGGGTTCTTAAAGCACAGCTCTAACCATGTCACTGACTTGCTTAAGAAGTTTCGTGGTGAGGAGCAGAGCCAAGATGGCAGAGTAAAAGCAATGACTTGCTTGAGCTCTCCCCAAAACCCCTCCAAATACCTGCAAAAATGGCTCTAAACAAATCCAAAAGTAGCAGAACCCACAAAAAGACAAAGTGAAACAAATTTCCAGCCCAAGACAACCTGGACGGTTGATCAGAAAGGTATATCATGCTCGCTGGGAGAAGAGCGCAGTTTGGCATGGGTGTTGGCCACAGTGAACCTGGAGCAGGCCTCAGAAGACTGAATCATGGGCAACTGTAGCAGTTTCCAGCCTTCTCAACCCATGAACGCCAAAGACAACTTAGAAGGTCAGTAGGAAAATTCTGTTCCTGCAGTGGTGAAAGAGAAGCCAGGTCCCAGGCCTATTCCCAGAGCTTGACCCTGGGGTGGTGGCTGCCTCCTGAGCTTCCAGCCCACAGACTGAGGGGGAATTGAGTGGCTGATCAGAGGGGCATTGCAGGGATCTCTTTGCTGGTGTAGGATTCTCCTGCTTTGCCTGTGCTTGGATCTGGGTCACAGTTCTGGGTGGCAGTCCTGGGGCAAGGAGTGCTGGCGTGGTGGAGCTTGTAGTGACTGTGGAGAGGTTATCCTCCCCACAGTTCCCAGACAGAAAAGAGTGCTTGTGGTCACTCATCGACCAGAGCACAGGCTAGGAAAGGAATAAACACCTTGCCCTTGATCATAGCACCTTGGAAGAACTGAAAATTTATAGGTACTTAGGAGTATCTCTGAAAACAGCTGCACAAAACCCCTGAAGCTTGGGACAGTACATTCTCCACACTGGAAACAGACCCCTACCTTAACAAAGAGTTTATAACTAAAGTAATTGGCTGGGATCATGAGCAAGCAGTGCAAAGAGAGTCAGACTATATTATCTTACTTTGGTGACAAGGAAGATCAAAACATACAACCAAAAGAAGACAACACAGTCAAAGCTCCGACATCCAAAGCCTCCAAGAAAAATATGAATTGGTCCCAGGCCGTGGAAGAGCTCAAAAGGGATTTTGAGAAGTAAGTAAGAGAAGTAGAGGAAAAACTGAGAGTGATGCTAAAGGAGACCCAAAAAAAAAATACTGAAAAAAATAACACCTTAAAAAAATAACCTAACCCAAATGGCAAAAGAGGTCCCAAAAACCAATGAGGAGAAAAATGTCCTAAAAAGCAAAATTGGCCAAATGGAAAAGGAAGTTCAAAAGATTACTGAAGAAAATACTTCTTTGAAAATTAGAATAGAGCAATTGGAAGCTAGAGACAATTTGAGAAATCAAGGCACTATAACACTAATCCAAAAGAATGAAAAAATAGAAGAGAATGTGAAATATCTCATTGGAAAAACAACTGACCTGGAAAATAGACCCAGGAGAGAGAACTTAAAAATTATTGGACTATCTGAAAGTCATGATCAAAAAAAGAGCCTACACATCATCTTTCAAGAAATTATCAAGGAAAACTGCCCTGATATTTTAGAACCAGAGGGCAAAATAAAAATTGAAAGAATCCACCAATCTCCTCCTGAAAGAGATTCCCAAAGGAAAACTCCTAGGAATATTATATCCAAATCCCAGAATTCCCAGGTCAAGAAAGAAACAATCCAAGTATTGTGGAAACATAATCAGGATTTAGCAGCTTCTACATTAAGGGACCACAGGGCATGCAGTATGATATTCTGGAGGGCAAAGGAGAGAGGACTACGACCACGAATCACCTACCCAGCAAAACTAAATATAATCCTTCAAGGTAACTAATGAAATAGGGGACTTTCAAGCATTCTTGAGGAAAAGACCAGAGCTGAATATAAAATTTGACTTTACAATGCAAGACTCAAGTGAAACATGGAAGAGGTAAACAGGAAAGAGAAATCATAAGAGGCTTATTAAGGTTGAACTGTTTATATTCCTGCATGGAAAGATGATATTTGTAATTCATGAGTCCTTTGTCAGTATTAGAGTAGTGGGAGGGAAAAAAATATATGTATGGATAGATAGATAGATAGAGGGCACAGGGTGAGTTGAAGATGAAGGGATGATATCTGGAAAATAAAATTAAGGGATGACAGAGGATTATACTGGGAGAATGAGAAAGGGAGAAGTAGAATGGGGTAAATTATCTCACATAAAACAGACAAGAAAAGGCTTTTACAGTGGAGGGAAAATGGGGGAAGGTGAGAGGGAATGAGTAAATCTTATTCTCAAAGGATTTGGCTTAAGGAGGGGATAATATACACAATGGGGTATGGAAATCTATCTTATCCTACAGGAAAATAAGGGAGGAAGGGGACAAGAGAGCAGGGGGTTGATAGAGAGGGGGTCAGATTGGGGGAGGGGTTAATCAAAAGCAAACACTTCTGAGGAGGGACAGGATCAAAAGAGAGAATAGAATAAATGGGGGTAGGATAGGATGAAGGGAAATATACTTAGTTTTTCACAACATGACTACTATGGAAGTGTTTTGCATGACTGCACATCTATAACCTGTATCGAGATGCTTGTCTTTTCAATGAGGGTGGGTGGGGAGGGAGGAAGGGAGAAAATTTGTAACCCAAAGTTTTAAAAACATATGTTAAAAATAAAAAAAATAAAATAAATAAAAAATGTTTTCACACGCAACTGGGAAGGAAGAAATATAGGAAATAGGGTACAGAAATCTATCCTGCCCTACAGGAAAATAGAAGGGGAAGTAGATAAGAGAAAGGGAGGAGAGACAGAAGGGAGGGCAGACTAGAGGAAGGGGTATTCAGAATGCATGCCATCTTGGGGTGAGGGGAGGAGTGAGATGGGGTGAAAATTTGGAACTCAAAATCTTGTGGAAGTGAATGTTGAAAACTAAAAATAAATAAATATAAAAAAAACAAAAAATAAATTAAAAAAAGAAGTTTCTGTGACTCCCTGTTGCTTATGAGATAAAACAAATCCTTCTGCCTGCCTTTAAAGCCCTTTACAACCTAGTTCCAACCTATTTCTCCAGACTGGTTACACACCACTCCCTCTTACACCCTCTGCATCCAGCCAAACTTACCTATGCAATGTTCCCTGAACATGAAATTCCATTTCCCATATAATTGCTTTTCTATATCCACCCCTCAAGCCCCCTGTGACTGGCTTTTGCAATTTAAGCTGATGTTATGCCTTGAATGTATGACTTCCTCACCCCTGCTTCTTGGAACCCCTACTTCCCTCCAAAACTCAGGAATTTCTTCACCTCCTTCCTCAATTTCTTTGCCTAAGTCTGTATTTATTTACATACCAGTGGTACCAAAGGGATCCCTTGATCAATTTCCTGAGCTCCCTAATCAGACTGGTGAGATTATGTGAGACTGGTAAGACCCCCCCCCTTTGAAGAACATGTGTGCACTAACTCCTTGAGAGGTGCTCTTCTAACAAAGACCATAAAAGTACAGGAAAAATCATTATCACCATTGTACAGATGAAGAAACTGAGACATGGAAAGGTTATTTGATTGACCATGAATCAGAGTCTAGACTTGAACTCAAATCTCCCTATGAGCAATCCAGTG